TGTGTGTGTGTATGTTTTTTATTAGTTAGTGAATATATATATTCCATACAAAACATCTAAAAAGTCTTCAGCGGTAATTTACTCCAGTTAAAATAATGTTACAGTATTTCATTTGAAAATTTGTGAATTTAAAACCCAGTTATATGATAAAATAATAGTAAATAGTAATAGTAAAATCTTAGTGAAACCGATTCAGTCATACTGATGCCATCATGCGCATTACATAGTGAGTTTAGGCAAGCAAGCAACTCAAGGTTATAAACACTTACGTATATTCCTTAATCATTTGATTCAACCTCTCCTTCATAGCCGCACTCGTGGTAGATTTTTTCTTTTTATCTTCCATGTCTGCAATACTAGCTTTATACCCAGCCACATTGTGCAGCACTTTCAGATGCTTGTCTCCAGCAGTAACTAAGTATTTACCACTGGGAGAAATTGCTAATGCACTGATAGGTTCTGCAAGTAAATATTTTAATAGTTACTTCATAGCACCAGACACCATGAACCCGGTGTAAACAAAAAAGTGACCTGGCAGACAGTCAAAATATAGCTCCTCTGTCTTGAGTGTTCCCCTTATATCACAGAAGGAACTTTTCTAATAGACGTCCATCTAAGGTACACATATATAAAGTATCAAAGTAAAGCAAAAATAGAGAATTGAAGAAGAAGTTGAAAATAGAATGGTTGACATACAACGGACATTCATCGATATGAACAGCTCTGTTGTCATGGAAGATGACAAAGCGCAATTGTTAATAAAAATCACCCCTTTTTGCTGAAATTGTTTATTTCTTGGTACTACCAATGTAATGGAAGTCATGTCATCATAATTAACGGGTTCAGTTTTAATTTTCAGTAGATATAGGTCAAAAGCATTCTAAGGTAGACAGTAAGAATAAGTGGGGTTTGTCATTGAGGGCATTTCTTGTAGTTTATGCATACTGAAAATGTAAATCCATACGCTTTATTCCGAGGTGCATTTACAGACATCCTGAGGAAATTTTGATTCAAGTTTAGTGTTTCCATTTACCTTATGCAGAAAGTTTTTTTTTTAACCTCAATTATGATTTTGCATTGTCATGTTATGAATGAGAAGGTGCCCCAATTTGAAAATCATTTGGAATGATAGAGTAAATTTACCAACTGCTGTAGACAATATGCCCTTGCTTGTTCCTGTGTAGTCTAATTTTTAACAAGGGTATATAGAAATCCCCAACTCAGTGGTTTAGTTACTAATCATAGAAAAGATTCCCGCACATGAAAGCAGCCTTCTAAAGGCAGAACCATTATATAGGAATTAATTGAACAAAAAACACTTATAAAGCTGGTATCCATGCAATAACAATCTCACTGTCCTCATTCACTGCCCTCACTCGTGCATAAAAAAAAAAGTTCTTAGTTTGATGTAATCTCAATATTCAACATACCAGTGTGGACATCATTAAATGTTTCTTCCTCCTCTCCTGATGTCGCATCATAGAGGGAGACATCATACCCTGTAGCTATGGCAACAGATAAACCATCTGGTGCTATTGCACACTTACAAGGGCCATTGTAATCGTAATTACCGGTGTGCAGGAGATACGGATCTTGATTACGCTGATATTCAACTGTTAAAAACAAAGAAAACTGATTTACTGATTACTGTAAAATTCTTAATTTTCGTTTGTAATTTATTTTCGCTGAAGAGATGATTCAGTGAAAACAAAATCCATCCGAATATACTTTTTTCTTATGTCTTGCATTCAACTCATCAAAAATCAGTGAAATTAAACTCCATATAAATCACCCAAATAGTTTTTTCAGCAAAATTTAATTCCAGCTAAAATAATATATTTCAAAGTACCGTACTGTAAAATACTTTATATTCACTTGGAATCTATTTTCGCTAAAGGTACGATTCAGTGAAAACAAATCCAGTGAATATAGCCTTTTTTCTACATTTTACATTCAACTCATCACAAATCCGAGAAAACATCAAAAAAGTATTTTCAGAGAAAATAATTCCTGCTGAAATACATTTTTTTACAGTAGTTCAACAATAGCTGTTTATAGCTGAGTAAGGCATCAGCTCTGAGAAGCCCTTTTCAACAAACCCTACTAACTAAGATAAACAATTTAGTAGCCAGAATGCAGATTCACTAAAGGTGCCACACTGCTATGTCATTTGTTTACATTTTTTTCCAACCAGCTTGAGAATGTCTGGTAACAAATGTTTCTCACTGATAAGAACTATTTTGCCAAGACAATGTTTCTCATAAGTTGTTTCATTAACAGGGGAAATGTACATATATTTACAACGGTGATGAGAATTATTCGGGCAATAGCTGCCATAATTTGTTCCTGGTAACCTAATACCACCTGCCTATATTCTCAATGTAGCATACTTGTCAGCAACCTAATAATCTGTCCACCAAAGCCAATCAACTTTTTGTATTAAATACAAGTAATATTTAGCACCTAAAAAATTAAACAAGATACACAGTATCGCAGTAATGACATGCAATACGTGACTCAATACGACTCGCAACCAACTAGTGAATACAGTAAAATGAAAAATTTACACGCATTAAAATTGCCATTTGATATGCTATGCAGCTCTGTCATGTAGTCCCAAACATGAATATGACTTCTGTGGCAAAAATGCACTATGTGTCAGCACTAGCACTTGCAATTTGCACATAAAAAGTCAGGAGTGACAACAGTGACATTCAATGTCTGGAACTGTAGCCTGGCACAAAAAACATTTAAAAAAGATTTACAAGTTACCATTAGTGTCCCATATTTTCCATGTACCATCCTTAGAAATGGTCACCATTCTGGAATGAAATAAATAAAAAACACGATGGCATGATGCCAGAATATATTTGTTGAAATAACCATACATGATCAGCTAAATGTGAACGACTTGCAGTGCTAACATACACACACATACATACCTTGTTGAATCTAAAGAAAATGCAAAATGATAAACGCTGGCTTTGTGTCCTTTTAGGTCCATTGCTCTTTTCACTTCTTTAAACTCGCCAGTTTTGGTAAAAACAACCTCCCATATCTTAACATCAGGAGTAAAACCTAGGAACAAACATGCAGTACATGCGAGAGCTTACACTGATGCAACCACAACTTGAACTAAGACACACTGTCACATACAGTATCACATGATACTGTATCTTAATCTTGAATCTAGAAATCACACCGACATCAAAAACCTTTATGCATATTTTGGTATTGGTATAGCATAGAGGAGCGTAAACTGGTAATCTTCACTTTGCCACAGTAGTGCAATTTTTACTTACATAAGAAACAATATGCAACATTTTAGGGTCGTATAGTTCTAGTGAAGAATTTGAGGTTGCGTCAAGGACAGCTACTCATATAAAGCAAATTGTACAGTTTCTATGATCCCAAGTCATAAGGGCATATTTGCATCAGTACATGCTTCCTAACAGAGTAATTGACCTAGCCCCCACCTCAGTAGATCAGACAGTAAGTGAATCATTTAATCATTTTTGACTTTCAACAAATAACATCATCATGCATTGTTCTGAGTGAAAATATTACAATTTGTAGATATATTTGTAACTCACCACATGATCCTACAAATCGTCCACATGGTGATACAGCTACATAATTGTTAGTCATTTGGTTTGTATTAATTGTAGCAATGATTTCACCTGCAAGCAAAGTGAAAGAATATTGCCTTAATAGTATAATAAATCAGAGAACTGTCAAAAAGTAAAATCTGAAATTTCCGGTGTTGATAATTAGCACATGTGCCAATCCTTTTCCAAAGAAGATTCACATGGCAGAATGAGTGTTTTATTGATACAAATCAGCTTTCAATGTACCGGTATGTGGATGGTAAACTTTGAACATGCATGTATATCTTGTTGTATTGAATCATCTTAAAGTGAGAGGGTCGTCACCTGCCCACGAGCGAGAATTGAGTCCCAAGCAGCTATAATACACGCTAAAAATGCAAAGGCTCATGGGTAGATGCTTGTTTGTAACTATTGACACACTATGGCCATCTGACACATGCGCAGGGGACGACTCCCTCGATTTAAATCAGTACATAGCATGTCGTTGTTTACAAATTACCCATGAGCCTTTGTGTTTTTAGTGTGCATTGTTATCATTGTTTGGAACTCAATTCCTTTGCACGCGCAGGTGACATCTCCCCTTCACTTTACTACATAAAATATTTCAATTTTTTTTTTCCCCACTAATTGAAATAAATATATTAGTTGGTTTCACCTTTGAGATCCCATATGAGTATGGTTGTATCAGCGGATGCAGTCATCATGTATTTACCATTGGAAGCAATCCCAATATTAATGATATCTCTCTCGTTTCTCTGTACAAGGTAAAAGAAAAAATCATCAATATTTGCCTGGGATCACAATTTCAAACATAGTTGAACTCTGGTGACCTTGCCCTTTGTTATACAATATTATTCCCTTTATCACAGTTTGTTTCAATATAAATATGCATTGTCATAATAAATTTTGAATACAAACAAGTTTTGGGGTTGAACCAACAGTGGGGAATCAGTCTATCGAATGTCCTTGATAGATGTAAATATTTTAAAAAAACATTGGTTTAAGGGACAAAATTTCCAGCTTTATTCAAAGTAATTCAGATATTTTAGTATAAAAACAAATGCCTCATCACAGAAAAAAAGTGCTGCATTTAGACGTGAATAGATTCATAAAACAAGCAAGATAACAGAAAATCTTTTGTCCAAGTATTTTGTACAGGTATATGTCAAAAATTAATGATTCACTAAGACAAATATGAACTGCCTTATTATATTCATTGTGTGACTACTGTATTATATAAAAAGTAAAAAAAAAACACTCTCTATGAATAGCTATCATGTTGCAAGCTCTGCTTTGTATGCAAATCAACTTAGATAGTTAGTTGGTGTCCAGTGGAGAGAGAAGTCAACAGTACTGTTGCCTCCTGAGAATCTACATCTTCAAACACTGCAATCTTTGAAGTGCGTTTTTAAATTAGTATTATAAAAGCTCTATCATTATGTTCTAATAGCTGAAACAAATTCCTGTGCATTTTCATTTGTCGAATGAACTGTTTGTCAAATACAGAATACATATATTTTAGTACAAGTTTCTTTTCAAAATGTGGATGCAACGCTTTGCTTTTTATGTATTGTTTTTGATTTGATAACTTTGCTTCAGATCTTGATCAAAGTTTGGCACCCAGTTCATAGGAGTGCTTATATTGATTTTCTGACATCTTGTTTTCTGTGAAGATTTTATTGGTAGGTTTGCAAATGTGTATCAGACTGTACAAAAAATCTCTCCATGAGTTGGTTTTGAAACCCAGTAAAAGTATTCCCATGGGGTTTGAGAGATACATTACCAAGGATATTATTACAAGATAAATGATTTGCTTGATTGAACACATACAACAATGCATATTTCCACTGAGATCAGTGACTTTTGATGCGTATCACCAGTGATCAGTCAAGTAGAAACAGTCAAAATATTCTATTAGATTTTCTCAATTTTTGCATGATATTTTCATACAGGACATCTGTTGTTCAATCTCAGGGAAGACATTATACTGATGAATAAGTTGACCAAGTTTAGTGAAGTTTCGAATAGAATTAATAAAGTTATTATGCACACAATAACAATTATTAACGACAACGCCGGACAAAAATCTTTTCTTTAATATACCTTTCCCTTCCATCTTTGATGGTACAGGCAAGGTAAAAATGGTGTATATGTAAACGTAGTTGCCTAAAATCTTGCTTTCAGTATCAAATTTAAAGAAAGAACTAACTGGTAGGCAATGATGTATAAATACAAGCAGCCTGTCGGCTGAGATA